TATAACTCAAGACGTCAATGTGAACGATAAAACAGTATTTAATTACAACCGCAAATAAATTGCTTAAGAAGAACAAAGAAGTAAAATTTCAACCAAAGATAATTAACCATTGCAGTGAATACCTTGTTAATAGCGCGACTCGGTTTAACATCCAGTAAATTCTAAATCAAAACCCAAATCCTCAATGCACACTAATTCGACTGGATAGTTCCACTCAATAATCATTCAATAATCACATCAGTCAGTAGCCTGACATCGCTATTTATAAACCCGCAGGAAAACATATTTATAAGTACAGAGTGTCACGCTCGAACCTCGGTGTCAGTAGTTACTCCTTTTTTTCCTATATGACACATTTATAAATACTTGTTTTAAAATAAAATCCGTACAATTTCCTTAATAAAGTCTATCGGAGGCCAAAACGCATTTGCTAAGATGACTTTTTGTCTTTATTTATATGAGCGCATGCATATATATATATATATATATATATATATATATATATATATATATATATATATTTATATATTCTTTTTATAGATACAAATATTTAAGTAAATGCTCTGTTTATAATAAACAGTATTAATGACATTTACCGACCTGAATGTCCGAGAAATTTTCATAGAAAATATTCGTCCTCCGACAGGAATCGAACCTGTATCCTATACGGAACGTGCCTTAACCGATTAAGCCGATTTTACTCCTTTTAAACTACAATCTTCCATGAATCTCACGTACATTCATATCTGTTCAAAGCGTATCCAAATGTAAATAAATGACGTCACACATTATGAAATGGACAAAGTCCGACAATTATTTTAAGACATTTTTATGTTTATACATTCTTTTTATAGATACAAATATTTAAGTAAATGCTCTGTTTTATAATAAACAGTATTAATAACATTTACCGGCCTGAATGTCCGAGAAATTTTCATAGAAAATATATATGTATATATATTAATGCATGTTTCATCAAATAATACAGACAAGTTTTGTCTATTTATTTTAAGTAAGTTCTTTTCATATTGTCTGATAAGCTTAATAACATTATCATTGAAGGACGAAAGGAAAACACCATATTGATATATGTTTAAATCCAATCTAAGCTTTCGGCTTACACAAGCCATTAACAATGATAACAATTTCAATAAATCAGACAACACACGGAAGAGACAACAATGTTAGCCCGCCCTTGCTGCATGAAAATTTTAAGTAACGACAACTTCGTATATACGAGACTCGGAAGCGAAAATCGCGTCGCAGCTCGTGACGTCACACGTGACCACGCGAGAGTGAAAAACGAGAAGTATTAAGTATGGGAAGCCGTTGGTATAAACCAATGGCTTCTGTTTTAAATTATAGGCATATATATATATATATATATATATATATGTATGTATGTGTGTGTGTGTGTGTGTGTATGTGTGTACGAGAAAAGGGTTCATTATTCGTAAATATATGCAGTGCAGACGAAGGAATGAAAAAGTTATAATTGTCAATTTTGACCTCTGCAATGCAATCTTTAGACTACTTTATCTATACACACACACACACACACACACATATATATATGTGTGTGTGTGTGTGTGTGTGTGTGTGTGTGTGTGTGTGTGTGTGTGTGTACTAACAGGTGTACTTGTCTATACCGAATAAGTATTCAAGACTAGTTATTGTGGGACAGTAAGACGATTCTTTCTTACTAAGATACTCTACTTAATAAAATAAACTATAATTAAATTCTCTTCCCATAACCTCGTATGACAAGAAGAAACAAATTAAATGTATGACAAAGAAACGCCTGTTTCAAATTCTACAATTCAGCGACACCAGTGACAAAAGAAACATGCCATATTTCGTTTCTTCCCTGCAAATTTCCAACGAAGATACTCGATGAAAATATGACATATATTTGGGAGGAAAATTTGTTCGATGTCAAAACACAATACATTAATAATATACAGGAATTTTAGTCTTCTACCGGACGTTTACAAACGGTAACTGTTATTATTAACGATAAATCCATTTAACAGAAAAGAAACAGGCATCTCGCTTCCCTAAAAGAAATTGGGGAAATGTTCATAGAATTGATTGACTACATATAGCGAACCGATTAACAGGTCCTTACCAAATAGATCAGCGTTTCTCAACCTTTTTACCCTTGCGTAACCCTTAAAATAAATGACATGTTTCAAGGAACCCCTGCGCAAAAACATAATTATAACTATATATTTCTAATTTCATTTTTATCGTAGTTCACGTGGTAAATATCAAAGTATATATTTTTCAGAATTTTCGGAATTTTTCCTCTTCAAATATCGCCCTCTTGGATGATTAGGTATTTCTGTAAAAATAAAGAAAAAGCAAAGAATTAAATAACTTTAAGTACAGATCCCATTCGCTGAGTAATGAATGTGGTTTCACACTGGCACCGTACAGACATCACTAAATATATTCCCAATGATTGTTATATTTTTTAATAACATAATAGGTTAGATAGAATGATGTCTATATGACATTATTACAATAACCAAGACTATATTAGGTGTGTTTAGTAATATTACGTATATGAAATGAAATAAAAAGTCAAAAGTGCATTAGCTTATCACACCTGTTCTCGCGGAACCCTTGGACACCTTTTGCGGAACCTTCGGGTTCCGGGAAATCCTGGTTGAGAAACAATGAAATAGATAGACAGCTGCTGGATTACGACCAACTGATGCATTAATAAGTCAAACGATAGTATCCCGATGTTTTGCGCTTGAAAACAAGTATTATTAATTTAGTAACACAATATATTCATATATTTAAAATATTTAAATGTTGTAAGTACATAATAAGCCACGGTAGAGTAGCGGACAGTAGCTCGGATTGAGGAGCCGGGGAAGCAACTGTCTGGCAACTGGTCTACCGCAGATAGAAATGGCAACCTATTGCGGGAAAAATCTGCCTCGTCAGTCATGTATCGCCTAAGCGTGTGGCACATAACTGACTGAAATTGTATTTTAATTTCAGAATACTTCAAAAGTTTCTTATTTACAAAATCCAGCGTTAAATTAGATCAATGCCATTGATGTTACCATATATCAGTGTGTCTTGAGTGGACGTGCAATACAAGCCGGACATTCGGAAAAGACGTCTATGAGAAGGCTGTTTTCCATTGGTCACATTGTTCTTTAAAAAAAAAAAAAAGGACGTGGTTTTTCAATGTTTAAATGTGTTACTACGGCTCGTTTCATGTTGAAAGCTTTGCCCTTATTTTAGCTATTTATTTACTTATATTGTTAAATGAGTAAATTCTAATTGTTATGTACAATCTTCAGCGTGATTGGCATATTTTCTTATGCACATGCGTAGTGAAAATGTTCTCTTCAAATGCCTGCGATATAGCCTGGAATTGTTTTCCAGTTTGCGTTTGGTTTCATGTCAGTCAAACGCAGAACACAGCTAATTAAATTGTAAATCTGGAGATAGACAGTTAAGTAGCACAACCCACAGCTAATTAACTTGTAGATCTGGAGATAGACAGTTAAATAACATGTAGATCTGGAGATGGAAAGGTAATGTCTAGATCTGGAGATAAGATATAAATTTGGAAATAGGCAGTTCAGTAACTTGTAGATCCTGAGATAGATAAATAATTTCTAAATAACATATAAACGCGGATATAGTTATTAGGTTGGTGCAAAAATAATGTCGTTTTTTGACGTTCAACTTAAGATAGATAAGTAACATCTATATCTGGGGAAGACCGCTCCAGATTTGTTCTCATGATCTTGACACAAGAAACACCTTCAACATCTCTCTTCATACATATATATATATATATATATATATATATATATATAAAGTTCATTTTCTTCATAAACAGTCATTTACTCCTGTACTTCACTGCTACTAACAAGCAGATGTTTTTTATTCTCCTAATTTTTTTCTCCTGATGATGGCCATGCTGGCCGAAACTGGGCGAGAAACCTAATTGAAATAATAAAGCTACAAATATTAATATACAACCCAGTGTGTCTGAAAATTTTAGCATTTTAATATTTTTATTGTTCAAAACATTCACTCACTCACTCACACACGTATATATATATATATATATATATATATATATATATATATATATATATATATGTGTGTGTGTGTGTGTGTGTGTGCATACCACTCGCAGTAAATTCAGCTCAAACTATACTGATCACCTGAGAAACACAGGTATATTCCACTTATAAAATTAATCATGTGATCTTCAGTTCGTGACTTATCCAAATTTATTTCGATTTACAGCTCTCCAAATGATTTATCTCACACGCTAAACACACAGACACGCGTATGAAGTGAACGTGAGTGCGATTACTGTTACCCCCAGCCACGTTTGCATTCTACCACCAAAAGCAATTCTCCTTGACGAAAAACCTTCTTTACTGAGAAGACGTGGACGTCGTATTGCCTAATTTAAAAAAAAAGAAATTAATTAAAAGGAAAATACAGCGTCTTTTCCATATGAATGACACTGTTCACTGAAGGGACTAATTACAAGTGTAACACTGACTGAACTGTGCGTGCGAGCATTGCTGTTAATTCAAAAAATATTCGACTCTCTCAACACCGGAGAGGTCGATAACTACACACATGAAAAGGTATCAAATGAGCCTTTTTTCTGTTTACGACAAGCGCTGGAAATTAGATACCACGGTGTTTCTTTTGTTCAATCTAAAACGGTCGGGTCAATCCAGGGCATGATCATAAATTGAACATCAGTAATTGACCATTCGTTTTAGAAACTGGCCGACCAAGATCCCTACAACTCAGTCAATACCAAACGTGCAATCATAATATAATAAAGGTAATGAATTGAGAAGAAATCACTGGCATATCATCCAAAATGAGACCATGACATTTGCCCATGAATCTAAGCAGCAGAACTTCGCATTTGGAAAGTTCATGCCTGAGAGGGGTGGCTTAGACACCGAAACAAAGCTCGCTCTTTCGAGAGCACCATGAGAAGTAAGGGTTAAATTATCTAATCGCTGATTAAATCATACCCCATCATGTCTAGGGTTAACAGCTGTCTATCCTACATAATATACACTATACGCTCAGTACGTTCTTACAGAACTGTACATTACCACTGTAAGCCTTTACAACAAACTTATTTAGTAACCTTCTGCCTTGAGTGGCTCTTGGGCCTTTTAATTATATGAACAATAGTAAAAAAGAGTTAGTGTTAAATATTTTTTTTCAATGATTTCACCCCAAGCAAGGCGACACTGTCACTAGAACGCAGGGTTTACAAGGAGTGAAAGTGAATGAGAAGATTGAAAACAGGGAGGATTGAGGAAAGGACAAAAAGAAACAGGCTTCAAGAAGACAGAAGATGGCGATTGATTTTTGTAGTTATAAAGGTATGAGGGAAGTAAGAAATCGGAAGTGAGTTCCACAGGCCGGAAGTGCATCCTGCAAGTTCAGCAGTAAAGTGGTGAGACCTAGTTGCCATTTTAGAAGAACGCTTAAATCCATCATGTCCGGGCATCGGAAAAAAATCGTCCAAGCAGTTGCCATGAAAATATTTAGATATTTTTTCATGGTAACTGATTAAATTAAATTAGCTCCGGTTTAGGACCTCACAATTATCAACGATCTATTTATTCATTAATTTTTGATGGCGATTGATTTTTTTGTTATAAAGTTATGAGGGAAGTAACAAATCGGAAGTGAGTTCCACAGGCCGGAAGTGCATTTGGTTGTCTTTTTTTAATTTCAGTCGTAATTATTGAACAAGATGTTTCCCAGATATCTATAGCGTAACGTCTCTCTCCTCCCCTTTCTCTCCCTCCTTCCCTCTTTCTCTCACTCTCTCTCTCCTTCTTCCTCTCTATCTCTCTCCTCTCCCTCTCTCTCTCTCCCCTCTTGCTTCCTCACAATCTCTCTCTTTCTCCCCTCTCTCTTTCTTACCCTCTCTCTTTCTCTCTCCCTCTCCCCCACTCTCCCTCTCTCCTTCTCTCTCTCCTCTTTCTATCTCTCCTTCTCTCCCACTCTTCCTATCTCTCCTTCTGCCCCTCTCTCTTTCTCTCTCCTCTGCACCCTCTCCCTCTCTCCTTCTCTCCCTCTCTCCTTCTCTCCTCCCTCTCCTTCTCTCCTCTTCTTCTCTCTATCTCTCCTTCTCCCCTCTCTCTTTCTCTCCCTCTTCCTCTCTCCCATTCTCCCTCTCATTCTCCCCCTCTCACTCCTTCTCTTTCTCCCTCTCCTTATCTCTACCTACCCCTCTCTCCCACTTTCCCTCTCTCCTTCTCTCTCTCCTCTTTCTCTCTCTCCTTCTCACCCCTCTCCTCGCTCTCCTCCTTCTCCCCTCTCTCCCCTCTCCTCTCCCTCTCTCCCTCTCCCTCTCCCCTCTCCCTATCTCCCTTCTTTCTCTCTCTCCTTCTCTCACACTCTCCCTCTTTCTCTCCCTCTCCCTATCACCCACTCTCCCTCTCATTCTCCCCCTCCCTCTCCTTCTCTCTCCCTCCTTCTCTCTTTCTCTCTCTCCTCTTTCTCTCTCTCCCTCTCTCTCATTCTCCTTCTACCTCTCTCTCTTTCTCTCCTTCTATTTCTCTCTCCTCCTCTCTTGCTACCTCTCTCTCATTTGCTCTCTGGCTCACTCCCTCGCTCTGTATCTTTCTATCAATCTTAAGGCGCAAATGATCATGATTTTCCAAAGTTCCCTTTCTTTGGTTGCAATTCTTCCACTTTTACGATCACTCTTTGTATTTCTGACATTCGTTCATCTATCCACTTGTCCGAACCTGTCAATTAAGAGGATTCCTCCCTCACTCTTTTTCTCTTGCCTTGAGAGTGCCGTTTTAAAAAAAAAATTGTTCTTGTAATATCGTAACAAATCTGAATAGAAACTTATGAAGCTTTATTTGACTGATTCAGCTTTAGTGTTGAAAAACGTTTATTTTATTGTGATGGAGGGTTACAAGCGAGAGGGGAGATGGGATGGGCTTATCATATTACCACAGTTCTTTTATTGTTCTCGCTCCTTAATAATGTTTTTTTTTTTACTTTTTCTTATATTCTTTCACACTCAGTAACCCTTGCGTGTTAGTAGCTTTGTTGCCTTGATTGGGGTGAAACGATTTTTTAAAAAAGTAGACATTTTCGACAAATTTAGAAGATTTCCATAACAAAATACTTCACGCCTCAGATAATATCCGAATTCTCTATCTTTTATAGAATGTGTAAGTACGATCCTTCAAAAGGATTCCCAGTGTCAATATTCTTGAAAACAATCTAAAGTCCGAGGAAGGGCAAATATTTTTCTATTCATCGTTTCAATGTTCTTTCTTTTTTATATTTGTCAATTTAGTCTTCCATAAATCGTTTTATAAACTGTCACTTGTTATCAATTTAACTTCATCGGAATGACTGCGCAAAATTTTTCTCTATTTACTTTGACATTTTATAAAGTGTTTCAGTGCAAATTTGTCGTGTGTGACGACATTATTATCTTTTTTTCTAATTTGGGGAAAAAAAATTTGTACGTGTTTGACAGCAGTTTATGCACAACAGAAGCAGTTTACAATTGCACTTTGAATTTTGTTTAAAGTATTTAGATGTTTCTGCAAAATTATAATCCGTGTAAACTATATTTCTCGCTCTTACACACAGGCACTCACACACACAGAGACACACACACACGCACACACACACACACACATATATATATATATATATATATATATATATATAGATAGATAGATAGATAGATAGATCATAAGACACTTTTTAGGGTTATACCTTCTTTTTATAGATTACTCTGATTATAATAAACAGTATTAAATCATGGAGAATTGTAGTTTAAAAACAGTAAAATCGACCTTGTTAACCGAAACGCTCCTCTGTGGCGAAATCGGTAAAAGTACGTCAGGCTATATGACGGTTCCGTGTAGGCTACAGGTTCGATTCCTGTCGGAGGACGCATATTTTCTATGAAAATTTCTCGGACATTCAGGCCGGTAAATTCTGTTTATTATAAACAGAGCATTTACTTAAATATTTGTATCTATAAAAAGAACATATAAACATAAAAAAGTCTTAAAATAATTGTCGGACTTTGTCCATTTCATAATATATATATATATATATATATGTGTGTGTGTGTGTCTTGAACAATAAAACATATAATATATATGTGTGTATGTGTGTCTTGAACCATAAAACATTAAAAAGTTAAAATTTTCAGAAACGCTGGGTTGTATATTAATATTTTTTGTTTTATTATTTCAATTATGTAATTATGTCCCACGACTAGTTTCGGCCAGCATGGCCATCATCAGGAGAAAAGTTCCCTGCTTGTTAGTAGCAATGAGCGACATGAATGAATGACTTTCAGAAGAAAACGAACTTTATCCGTAGTTTCCATTTCTTTATCGTTAATTTTGGTCAGGCCTTGTGTTGGTCAAACGGCCTCTTTTAAGTTGTTTTTTTTTTCTTTTAAAGATAGAGGCTGGCAGATTCATGACTTTCAGAATTAACTCCTTGGTCATTTTGACAGTTTTATTGGTTGCTGGGACGGGGTATATATATATATATATATATATATATATATATATATATATATATATATATATATATATATATATATATATTCAAATTTATGCACAAATACACCATATATTTTATCGCCCGGTTCAAACTTCTCCACGGTCTTCTGAAAAGGAGTAGAGGCTTATACCTTCTTCCCTGCTTAGGAATGGGTTTCTGGTTTTTGGTTCCTTCTCATTTATTTTCATCCTGTTCACTTCTAGTAACCCCTTGTATATTAGCGTCATTATCGCTTTTTTAAATCTTGATTATATATATTGATTTTAAATATATTGATTATATGTATTAATATAATAAAAATATAGTTTTAACTCATGCTATATTTATGAGTTAAAGTTCTCACTATCAGGAATAGGATGTATTAAAATATAAAAATGGATATTGGTGTCAGTACCCAGCGGAAACAGTCTGTCTGTTTTATGTTTAAGCACAACTATGGCCTGCGTTTAATCATGAAACTGACTATAGCCGCTCAATATCCACTTTTATATATATATATATATATATATATATATATATAATGTAGCCGATTTCTTTTAGATTCTTTTTGTTTTTTGTTTCCATTATATTTGTAATTAGATATCCCATAATAGGAGACATAGAAGATCTGCTAAAAATGGTAAAATGTTTTAGGATCCTGGATGCAAATTTACTGTGAAATTTAATTTATTCTATCTTTCAAGAGCTATGCAAAATATAAAAAAATAGAAAAGTTTTCATTAGAATGAGAAACTTTTATGTATGGTAATATCAGTCCTCCTACGTGGCAGATGAGGACGTGACTTGAATAACAGTGAAATATAGTTCTCCAGAAGGATGCTGAGAAATACCAGGAACTGAACAGTGACTGAGGCAGTTTTTAAAAAATGGAACTAAAATGAATTCTTATTATTAAAAACCAGAAAAAACACAGCTGAAATTTCTAGAACATGTTTAGGCGGGAGGTATTGAAGAATTTGTTACCCAAAGAATATATTGAAAGTAATGGAGACAGATAGAAACGTTATGTGACTTACCTGACAAGATTATATAATGGATGACAGAATAGGGAAAGTGAAGGATGGTTAAAAGACAAAACTTACTAGGAGCTACATCGGAAAGGAAATTGTGAAGAGCTATGATCATTCACGTCCTGAGGGGTCACGGCACACAGAAGAAGAAAATTTCTATCTATAAAAGGCAGGACGTGTGTGTGTGTGTGTATGTGTGTGTGTGTGTGTGTGTGTGTGTAACGAATGCACGGTTTTCGACGGATTTGCACCAAAATTTACATGCACATGCTCCAAGTAAGCGGGAAGGCCAAGACCGACATTGCATTTCCCAACTCTCATCGATAGTGGAAATAATCGATTTTTTCATGCTTCTACGGCACTTTTCATGTAGTTTGCAGCCATTTTCTACTGGCCAAAGTGAGAGCCTATAGCTGGCTGCTACGAATAGGCAGGAAGGTTCTATTGGCCAGCGTGAGAGCCAACAGCTGACTGACACGAATGTTAACTAGCATGCTAGCATGCAAAAAAAATCGATAGCTGCATTCGTAACAAGTGGGAAAAATTTAAATCTGCATGGCACTTTACTCCAATTGGCTCATTCGCTTGCTTAAACTCAACGTTGATTCTGATTCTGCAGAACTGGGTTGGGTGTGAAAAAGTATTTGTTGTTAACATTCTTTTTTCATTCGGTTTTTCCAGTTACGAGTCTTTTTTTAAAGCTGATCGTTTTGTGTTCATTTTGTTTAGTTCTTTTTTCGTAACAGATTTAATGTTTAGTATAGAGCTTAGAAAAAATTCGCAGTATGAGATAGGCAAGAATTAAGGCTTGTAGCAACATCATCACAGCAAAGGGCACTCCTTTAAAGGCAAGGAAGTGCAAAAATCTTTTAAGTCAAGTGATAGCGATTGCTGTATGAGTCGTACGATTTTTGAATCAAGCACAGGCAACGCCGGGCCATGCTGCTAGTGTACAATAAGAACAAAATCCTTAAACGAAATTTGGATGTCAGAGTATATATTTTATACCGGGTTACTCGACTGGTACTGGTAACCTCGCAATACTTATCGCATGATCAGGTCAATAGAGACTAAACCTGCTTCCCGACAAGGCCATTCGAGTGAAGAAAGTGACTAGATACCTACCATACGTGAACCTTCTAAGAGGGATAACGACCACCTAGCAAAATGATGTAGATTCGGCTTTGTTTGCTGTGTGGTGATGTCACGGTATCGGTGGACAGTGGATTTCCTTGAATGAAGTCACCGGTCAGGGCGGAGGTTTACCGCGATGGAATTAAAACGCACGCGTCCGTAACGAAGTCGATCCTTCAAGTCGGTGAACATCGGCTGTGCTTTGACCTCAAAAATGGATGAACCCCATCAGGTCTAATTGCTACGCATGAATGAATTCACTTGTGGATTTCAAGCCAGTTATGTAGAGAGAACTGATCAAGATTCCTTATGAGCAGCGACCCTACGACCGCACAACGTCAGGAAACTGATAATGATGATGATAATGATGATGATGATTAATATTTAAAATCGAGAACGACTTTTAACAATCTCCTTCTATCTTATGACTTACCCACCTGAATGATGACCGAAAAAGCATCAGCCGGAAAGATGTAAAGAAATAGTAAGTATGTGGATATAAGGCCGAACAATTCGTAGACTAAGTCCTTTAATAGTTTATTCTTTGTGACAATCGTTTGTTACTCGCTGTCTTCAACTCCAGTGACCCATGAGATACTTGGAGTGCCATTATTGAACACCCTAGTTTTGCTAAATGGCTACAGTTGACCTGTTCGACTATTTATCCTTAGAGTCGAGGAGAGAAGTGGAGGCAGACCTTTCCCAAGAGAGTTCGAATTCAACATATAATATTACAGACATTTTTCTTTCTTTTTTGCTTCTACTTGGATCTGAAAAGGGATTAGAGGCATCAGAGAGAAATATGCGACAAGGCAGATTTAGATAGGTGAGAAAAAAAGGAAGGGAAAGAAATAGAGAGAGAAATGAACTGACTGAGGCATAGATAGATAGATAGATAGATAGATAGATAGATAGATAGATAGATAGATAAAAGCAGACTGAGATAGATAGATAGATAGATAGATAGATAGATAGATAGATAGATAGATAGATAGATAGATGAATGTATGAGTAGAATTCTGTAATAAAACAGAGTCCAACTTGATGTCTCTAAATCTTGACCATAATAACATCTAAATCCAAGGCCTTCCCACACCTGTTGGAAGAATCTCCCCCGGTTCATCAGAGCTTCA